GAGAGAGAGAGAGAGAGAGAGAGAGAGAGAGAGAGAGAGAGAGAGAGACGGAGAGAAGCACGGGAAGAGCAGCCTTCCCTGCAGTACGTCAAAGCGGACGAGACGCATTAATTAAAACAACGTAGAATCGCATTGCGTAAATACCGGCCGCTTCTACAAACACACATGCCGCCGTAGCGTATGATACTGACACTGTATCACAGTGACGATACGCTACCATGACAAACTGATGAATTTGGTAGACATATTAAACATACTAATAAATCCGCTTACACGCCGCGTTGCGAAATAATAATCCACTGAATAATTTACGAAATATGCCACCGCAATCGAACCGTGTGCCGCTCTGAGTGCAGTGCACAAGGTATTCCAGAATCGCCAGACATTAATTTCAAACATGAGTCGTGATCTTGGGTCGACCTAAAAATAATTATCTGTTAATCAAAATGTCGAAGCACAGACAACTCTCTCTCTCTCTCTCTCTCTCTCTCTGCCCCCTTTCTTTCCCTCTCTTTTTTTCTCTCTTCCTCTTTCCCTGCGTACCGAGAGCTTTCGAGACATAATTACAAAGTCTTGAGGAAATTCTCTACACAAGAAATCGTAAACGCAAACGTACAAAAGAAAGGACCTTTCTCCTTTCGCGATTTCACACTATCTCGCGGAACGAAAGCGAGCGAAGTAATTCAAATCTTGCCAAGAGGGGGACGAAATAGCTGGATCTCGCGCGAACAACCGCGGTCAGCCGCGCACGTCCTTTGCGGATAACTCGCGCGTCAAAACATCGGGCAATTAACCCTGGAGGGGATTTAAAAGCGGGTTCAAAGAGCGGCGGAGAAAGTGAGGAAGGGAGAAAAAGAGAAAATGATAGGAAAAGGGAGAGAGAAACAGAGACAGGAAGAGAGAGAGAAAGAGAAAAAGAGAGAAAGAGAGACAAGGAGTTAGAAAGAGGGCAACGGGCATCTCCCGCTTATACGTCCCAAGAGGGAGGGGGCCATCGCGCCAAGGGAGCCCCCGTCGTAGATTCGTGCACGACCGCAAGGGAATTACTAAGGATTACATGAAAATTCTATTATCGTCTTAGCGTCGTGCCTCATAACTCCGACGCGCGTGAGGAAATCAGGCTGATGTTACGTATCAATCCTCGTTTCGACGCTATGCGTCCCGGCAGATGCATCGGGATGCACTCCGATCTAGGCTGCGCACGACGTGCTTTTATTCGGCTTGCGAATGACAGATCTTGACGCACATCACCGTCAGCATCGGTATCAGTTATGGATACGCGAGCTCGCTTCGGTACCACGATAACACGTTGTCTGCAGAGTTCGCACAACGACCTTTATCGGAAAGGGGGTCAGTTACATCTCGGTTTGTTCGGGTCGTTTATTTCTTTTTTCCCCTTTTTGGCCGCGAGGACGCGCGATCCGACCGCATCAGGCGTTGAATCGTCCAGGCTAACAGTGTCCCGGTTCTATTATTTTGCACCGTGCTATCAGCCCGATACGAATTTCGCCGACAGTCAATTACGACGTTGCGAGCACGACGAAAGGATGAAACCATTAAAACCATTACAGCATTAAAAGAAAAAACATTTTTTGTTTAAGATCGCGCGTTGTACCAAAGAAAAAGGACAGAGCACGCATCCGAATATTGCCGAATCGGCGGGGAAGAGAGTAAATTGGCATGGAATGACCGAGTGCATTCGTCGGAAGCAATTAAGTTTTATGAGGGCCGAAAATACAAAATACGGTCGTGCATTACGGCCGGTCAGACCGAGCGCCGGCGCGTTCACGTGAGGAACGAGGACCGTGGCCAAATCCCATGTCCATTACGGGTCCAAGCGATCCCCGCTAAGCGGACTTAACATTATGTTTAATGTCGACGACGCGTGATGCGCGGAGCCGCTAATACGAGGCGCGAAGTAATCCGTAATAAAACCGAGTAATCGCGCTTTTGGCTCGCGCGAAATTGACGTCACGCAACAAATTGATGACCCCCTACGTCATCCATCGTGCGAACACCGCCGGCACATACGCGCCATGTATCCGGCTGTGTAAGGGTATGTGGTCGGCAGAGGGGGAGGTAAGGGAGGGAAAAGTGGTTAGCCGGGCGGGACGCGAGTTCGCCGCAACCCCACAATTAACGCTCACTCATTAATCCGATTAATTGCGAATTACGTGAAAAGTCCGTTATCGCCTTAGAGACGCGTGTCGCCGATGGAATCATACGCGCTTAGCGCCGATAGCTCTCGACGTGTCATCGATCGCTTTCACGTATATTCTCCGCGCCTCATTAACCTTCGGGAGTGGAGTACGTCGAAGAGCAGCGAGCCCCTTAACCCTGGATGAAATTGCAGCATTCCGAAATTGGAGCCTGAAGTAATCCGCGTCTCGCCCCGGCAGAAATCTGCTTCAGTTTCAAGCGGCGGCGGCGGTAGTTATTTCACAACTGAAAGCACTATCCGCCAGAAATGTCTTGACTGATCCGTCTTGATTGCATAACCGTACTTTACGCGCACGCATTATCATCTTCGACGAGAACGTGCTCAGGACGACTATAAACTACGATCACTCGGGGTTTCACTCGACAAAACGACACGCCGCGGATTCTTTTCACTGGGATCGATGTTTAACGAGTGAGATTATATTAAATTGCACTATTCGTACTCGCGCTGGCCTTTCCGCATTCGAGGAGACAGCAGATACAGATTTCAACGCTGTTCTATTGCCATTGTCTTCGTCGAATGCGGTTATTAATCGGACGTAAATCAACGTACAAATTAATGATCCACGACACACAAAAGACCTCAAAGCGAGATAATTGTTGTATTCATTACGACTCATGTG